GGGTCTTGCCTCCCCTCCCCCACCCCTCCCCGTGTCTAGTCCTGCTTGTCCTTCCAGCACCGATTCGGATGCTGCTCCCGGAATGCCTTCCTTGAACCCACCCATCTGGACGGGGGTCTTCCTGACCCCTCCTATGCTGCCACGCACATGTTTGTATGAAGTGATGTGGGGGAAACTACTTACTCAGCATTTGCCATATTGAGGGCACAGGGCTAAAGGCTTTACATGGAAAATCGTAACTTTTGCAATGTCCACTGGAAGTAGGCATTCTTATCTCAGGGAGAAACAGACTCCGAAGGTAATTTGTCAAATGTCACACAGCCCTACCTGATCGGAGCAGTGCTTCATTCTCTATTGCTGTGTTCACGTGAACTTAGTGGCTTAAAATCACAAGTGTTTATTATCTTGCAGGTTTCCAGGTCAGGAGTCTAGGAGTGGCTCCGCGGGGTGGGCTCAGGGGCTCCCCGAGGTCCTGCTGGAAGGTCGGCACGGGCCGCTGGCTGGTCTGGAGGCCCAGCCGGGGCTGGAGGCGCCGCTTCCCAGTGGGTGCTGATGCGGCTGTGGGTGGGGCCCTGGGGCCTCGCATGTAGCCTTACCCGGGGCTGCTGGGCCTCCTGCAACATGGTGGCCAGTGGCCCCCAGGCAGGCGACTGACAGCGAGCAGGGCGGGATGCTAATGCCTCGTGTGAGCTCGCCCACAAGTCACACAGCCATTCTTGTACACCCGGTGTTGACAAAGGCCAGCCCTATCGCTTGGGATGGGACCTGCGTGGGCACAGGTACTGGGAAGCTGGCGGCCGCTGGCAGGATCAGAACAGGACCCCCACTGCTGACTAGCCCACCCCCTGTACATACATCCAGGGCCGTGGAACCCCTCCTCGGCCAACACCCACTCCCGGTCCAACCGTCGCAAGCCGACAGCGGGAAGGGAATGTGTCCCCTTTCTGTGGAACCTGCCACCGGCCAGGCCTGTGTTTTGCTTTGATCAAGTGAAAAGCTGTGACCCAAGTGCCCCCAGCAGTTTGGGCTCAGTGAGCTGGAGGTGTGAACAGAACCAAGGGGGAGGGGGCGGTATTCCTAGCCCGCCTCTCTGCCCATTTCCAGGATGCTCCAGCTGGAACGGTTTCCTCCGGGAAGCGCTGGGGGTCCGGAGTGGACAGGGGGCCTCACGGTGAGGCCGGGCTGCCCACGATCCCGCCCACAGTGTTGGGGTGCCACTCGCCCCACGCAGAGGCCATGAATCCAGTCTGCCCTCTGGAGGGGCCACCCCATTACTCCAACATCCACGTGCTGAGCACCCGCTCTGGGCAGTCTGTGGAGGGGCCGCTGACCGAGATGCTGATGGCCAGCGACGGCGGTTAGTGTCTCAGAGCAACTGTGAGCGTCCTGGCCTTGAGGTCCTTGTAGTGGGAGCCCACCAGGAACGGGTGTGGGGCCGCCCTTACCGTTCTGCAGACGAGAAGCCCCAGACACCAACAGCACCCCGTTATGTTCGTGGGGGCTCCCCATTGGACGTAGGAGCAGCCTGGGCAGGTCAGCACCACACAGCCCCACGGAGGCCCTGCCCACCGAAGACTCCCTCCTCAGGGCACCCCTCCTCCCAGGACCAGATCTACCTGTAGCCCAGGTTTGGGACAGGTGGGACCTCCCTCTTCAGGAGGGATTCAGGGCTTCAGGAGAGGGAGGGGCTCGCCTCTCCAGGCTGATGCGGGCCTGCCAGCTGTAGGACTCAAGGTGCGGGGAGCATGTGTGAGCTCATGGGGCGACATGGGGCCCTGCAGGAGTTCACCCTGTCAGAAGACGCTGGCTGCCATTTCTCACGCTGTCCTACACTCAGGCCACACACACTATGGGACATCCTACTACACGTGCAATTTTGTGTTCTACCTCTTAAATGTTCTTTTTTTTTTAAAGATATTATTTAGAAAGAAAGGGCACACATGAGCAGGAGGAGAGGCGGGGGGAGAGAGCTTCCTGAGCAGACTGCACTGAGCACAGAGTCTGACTCAGGGCTCGATCCCACAACCCTGAGATCATGACCTGAGCCGAAATCAAGAGTCGGTCCTTAACCGACGAAACCACCCGGGCGCCCAGAAAGTATTTTCACGCTATTTTTATTCAACCACACAGACTGTCGTAGGCAATTCTAGGATTCTGTATGGCTTTCCTCTTACCCTTTTCATGGTGACAGTGTCTCGTTACTCTGCTCCCCTAACTCGCCAGGCCTGCCATGGGACATGGGGTGTCTCCTGGTTTGCGGCCATCAGGGGTAGCACGGCCGTGAACAGCTCCAAGGACGAAGCTTGTGGAGAGGACTCCTTCTTTATGGAGGAAGTTGGTGTGGCGGCATGTGGGATGCAGTCTGGTCTGAAGCGAAGGGACACGTGTGTCTGGATGGCTGTCAGCCTCTGCCGCGACAAGGTGGGAGGCATGCAGCGGCGGGGGAGGGCGCAGCACGTGGGTGGGTTCTGTGTTGGAAATCCCAGCTCTGGCACATGGTAGGCACATGAGTGTGGACAAGCACCGTGACTTCTCTGAGCCTGTTTCCTCATCTGTGAGATGGGGACAGTACAGCCCTTGCCGGATGGTCACGCAGACACGCCAGTCCAAGCCCAGCGTCTGCTGAGAGCCGGCGTCCTGGCCAGGCCATATCAGCTGCTGTGTCCTTGTGCAGCAGAGAGGAGGCAAGCTCTCCTGGGACTCACCGGGGCTCTGCCTCACACCCTCATCTACCCTAACTGCCTTGCCAAGACCCCACTTCTTAACATAAGGGACAGTTTGAACACAAGAACTCGGGGGGCAGGGAGGATAGTCAGTCCATGACCGCATGTGGCATATGCCTTGTTCACGTGTCTGTGTACTCACCACTCACCCCCTGCACGCGCCCCCTCGCCGATCTGCAAGCCTTGCCCTGCAGGCAAGCCCTGAGCTCCAGGAGGGCGGGGCTCTATGTCTGTGTCTGGAACGTGCCTGGGGACATGGGGGCATCTGCACACCCGGCCTTGTGAACTGGTCTTGTGAACTGCCTCGAGGCCAAGGGGAGGCCGTGGAAACACTGAGGGGCCATGAGGATTTACTGTGCCTGGTGGACACCCTCCCTCGGGGGTCCTCTTGGTGCACTTGGGTGCCAGAGGCAGGAACACAGCCCCTGTGGCCATGCTGGGCAGGTGCTCCCGCTGGCTCAGAGCCAGGAAGTTTACATGAAGTGCTTCCTTGTTCCCACCCCCTTTAAGATGATTTTATAGTGGAAAAAAAAAAGATGATTTTATCACAGTTACACCCAGTTGGAGGGACCACCCTCCCCTTTCTGCCCACAGAGGAGGTCCTGCACGACCTCCACCAGGTCCCCGTCCCTGTTGCTCCTGTGGTGGACACACCGCACTCTCTCTCCTTCCAGCCGTGCCCTTCCTGTACCCCATCCCTCCTTCTGAGACTCGGCCATAGACTTGGTTAGCTCAACGTTTGCAGGGAGTGGGCACCTTGTAGATGTGTCCACGGCTGTGAGTCTGTAAGTGCTGCGGGGAACAGCCCTCCAGGATACCATGATCTCTCTGCCTCTGCTGTGTGTCTTCCCGTGTTCTCTGTATGGTCACCCTTTCTCCTGATCCCTTTCCTGTGTGACTGTCCCTCTCTACGCCCAAACTCTCCCTCCCTTGTTCAGATCTCTCAAAGGAGCGTGTGTACCAGATAATTTGCCAGTGTCACCTTCCCCCGGGGGATGGGCGCTCCCACCTGTCGGGAGGGGGTCCCCGCAAGGAGTGGGAGCAGGACGGATGCTGGGATCTGACCCCGGCTTCCACCGGAACGGGCAGCAGGAGCGCAGCGGGGGCTATCTCCGGAAACTGGCGTGAAGTCGGGGTGTCCGGGGCGCGGGGCGGGGGGTGGCTGGCTCCGCAGGGAGTTCGAAGGAGAACGGAGCGGGGTGGGACGGGCGCTGGGAAGGAAGGAGGAGGCTGTGCAACCGGCCTCCAGTCTGCTGGGACCCACAGCCCTGCAAGCTGGAGACCAGCAGCCCCGACTCCCGTCCGCTGAGGACTGGCTCCCGGTCTGCGGTCTGGCTGTGTCCCGCAGCCAGAGGGCGAGGGAGCTCCCTGGGGTCTGTTGTCAAGGTAGGAAGGTCCCTCGAGGCCTAAGCACCTCCCAAAGGTCCCCCTGCTGAGGGCACAGGAGTTCCTCAGCCTTCTGCGTCCTCCTCAGCACCGCCCGGGCGTTAGGTCGCGGCCTGAGCTCTCGGGGACACCCACTTCGGTGCCAGACACGGCGGCACCGCTGTCCCTGGCCGGTCCCCGCGGGCGACTGAGCCCGCGGCCTGCAGTTCGGGTCGGCCTCGTCGGCCCCGTCAGCCCCGGTCAGCCCCGCTCCGCTGCTCACCCGGAGCAGCTGCGGCCTCAGCGCCCTCCCGCACCCTCCCCGCACCCCGCACCCCGCACCCCGCGGCCGCCCGCCGTCCGTCTCGCTCCCCGAAGCTCGCTCCCGACAGGACCTCCGGCTCGGCCCGTCCCGTCTTCCCTCTGCCCTTTCCGCCGCTCGGTCTCTCCGCCCCCGCGTCCGGAGGGTTGGCCCCAGGGCAGCGCCGTCCTCGCGGGAGCCCCGCACGCCCCGCACGCCGGAGTGACCCGGGGCCGTCGGGCTGTACACGGCCTCGCGCGGACGCGGTCGCTGACCCCACGGGAGCCCCCGGCCCCGCCCGGCCGCGCCCGGCCGCGCCCGGAACCCGCCTCCGAGGAGCCGCACGCGCCGGGGAACGCGCTCGGGCGCCGGACGCGGTTGGTGCGCGCGCAGCCGGGCTTCCGGTTCCGGCTGCGGACCGGCCCGCGGAGGCGCGGGAGGAGGAGGAGCGGGCGCCGGGCCGCCGAGGTAGAGCCGGCCGCCCCCTGGGCCCCGCGGGTGTCCCCGCCCCGGGCTCCGCGTCCCCGCCCCGCCCCCGTGGCCGCAGGTGGCCCTGGTGGAGTGCGGGGACCCCGCCCGAGGCGCGGCTCCGGGGGCCGTGCGGGCGGGCGGGCGGCCTTCGGCCCGGGTGAGCGGAGCTTCTCGTGCCGCGCGAAGTCGGTTGTGTTCCGCGGGCGCGCGAGTGTGGGTGCACCTGCGCACGCCGTCCGGCGGCTCCCGCGCCGGGGGTCTGGGGACAGGCGCTCGGGAGGCCCTGTGAGCAGCCACCTCCTGGGAGGCGGGCGGCCGTGAGCCCGGTCTCGGGGGTGCGGGAAGGGGCGGGAGTCGGAGCCCCGGGGGGGGGGGTGTGAGCCACCGGCAGGCGTGGGGGCGCCGGGACGCGACCGCTGCGACGAGACGGCCCAGGCCCCAGCACCCTCTTCAAGGCTGGCCTGGGCAGTGGCGTGGACGCCGGCCCCGGGATGGCAAGCTTCGTCCCTCCGGGCGGCCTTCGGAGCCGGCGGCCTTCGGAGCCGGCGCCCCGCTGCCTAGCACGGATGCGGGTTTAAGCGCGCGTCTGTCCGTTTTGGCCGTAGTTTTGATGTAGTGTCCGTGAATGCCCGGCCCTTAAAAATACGACCTTGAGAACAGCCCCGAAACCGGAGGCCTGGTGTGGACAGGAGTGCCTCCCAGCACGGGGAGAAGGTGGTCCTCGTGCACCCGGCCGCGGAGGCAGCCGGCCCCAGGACGTGGTCTTTGCCGCTGGCCCCTTCCGTGCGGCCAGGCCGCCCTGCACCGGCCGTGTGGCGGGTCTTGTCAGGACGTCCCCCGCGCGGAGGCTAACGGGAGGAGCCGCCGCCGGGTGTGCGCTGAGTCCGAGCCCGCAGGGGGCACCCCCGTGTCAGGAGAGGCTTCCGCGAGGCGCACACGCTCTGGCGGTCTGCCTGGGTGGTCAGGCTGCCCGGTCGGCGGGTCTCTGGCCAGGCTCCGGTGCAATCCGAGAGCAGCGTGTCCCCCTCTGGGAGAAGGCGGGCTGGCCCAGCTCCCCAAAAGGCAGGTTTCTGTGGTCTGGGCCGAGGCTCTGACGTTGCGGCACAGCGACGCTGCTTATCCTGGGCCGGGCGTGTTGAGAGCAGCTGCGTGAAGCCGGGTGGCTGCGACGCGGAGAGCCCATGGCCTAACTGCATGTCCTTCGTGGCCATTCCCTCTGGGCCGAGCCGCGGGGAGTGACGGGAACCCCATGACCACAGGAGGCCCCGCGGTCGGAAGGTGGGGCTCTCCTGAGGGGTCTCTTGGTCTTTCTGGACCCGGAGGTGTTCGCGAGGGAGACACACAAGTCCTCTGCCCTCAAGAGGTTGGTATCTGTGCCTGTTCAAGGCGGATCCTGATCCTGATTGTGCCTGTTCCAGCCAAAATGAAGATGTAGCTCTGTCCTGTGTGTGAAGGAGTGAGTTCTGGGTCACAAACCTGAGTGACTTGAAGCTGTTTTGAAGGGAGGGCCCCATGCCCCCCACACGTTTGCTGGGAGAACAAATGAGGGCAGCCTCTTTGCAGGGGACTCTGGCCGTGTTTACCCAAATTAAGTTATTTTTGTTGTGAGGCCCCCGGTGAGCACTGGGAGGGCCTCTTCTGGACATCCGCTCGGGAACCACCCACTGAGCTCAGGAGCCCCCACATTGGCTCAGCGGCCCTCTCCTGCCCCCCCACCCCCAGCTGCAGCTCCGCTGCCCCTCCCAGGAGGGCGTGCCTGCCACATCCGCTCCCGGCCGTCCCTCCAACAGATGGCCGCAAGCGTGTGTGCGTGTGCATAGTGTGTGTGCCGCGGGACGGACGTCACTGGCCGCACAGACGTCCGTGAACCAGGAGTTCTAGCCAAGAGGAGACTGCTGTTCTCCTGCTGTCTGCTTCTACCGTTTGAGAAATCGGAGAGCTACAGACACTTACAAACCCGTAGATCCACCATCCAGAACAAATTTTTTTTGTTTTTTTTCTTTGTTGTGCGAAAGAAGATACTAATACTGAAGTTCAAGCATCTCCAGTTTTAAGAAACAAGTGACATTTATTAGGCCTTTAAAAAGTCGGATTATGAAGGTCGTACATGTTCATTTCCAAAAAACTGGAGAAGACGGGGAAGTGCTGAGAAAACACGGACATCCCCTGCACCCTGTAACTTATGAACACCTGGGGGTTTACCTGCCCGTGCCTGGAGCTCTTGCAGGACACGGCCTGGCAGGCAGCTCGTGCCCTCCCCGGCTGACCTCCGTAGACCCCATGTGGACCCTTTGGAACCGGTTCTCGGTATCATAAATGGTGCTGCCGTGGACCTCCCCTCTGTGCATCTCTGATTGTTTTCTGAGGGTACATTTTAAGGAGAACAACCTGGGAGCAAAGGGCATGTATTTTCTGAGGTTTTTAAATTTTGTCTTATCCTGGAAGTGATACTGAATTACCCTTTGGGAGGGCCGAGTTGGTGCCCTCGTCAGAGGGGCCCCCCAGGTCCTGGGGGCAGCCTGGCTGCCAAGGCCTCTTGAGATAACTCAGGTGTCAGCCTCTCCGGGCAGCTCCCCATCGTGGACACTCCTTGCCACTTGTCCTACAGCCGAATGGGAGTGTGGGGGGACCCGCCAGGCCTGGGCTTGGATCGCTGGTTCTCCCATTATTTTGTGGTGTCGGGCAGGGGACTTTCCCTCTTGGGTTCTCTGGGGGTTGTTGCTGTGACCGCCTCTCGCGGCTTCCACCCCCAGCCCTGCTTGCGGAGTCGGCCGAGGCCCCACAAGGGAGGAAGATGGGCGCAGCCCTGTTTTCCAGTTCTGTGTCGCCAGCGTGGGCTCCAGCTTCTCACAGCTGCCGTCTGGCTCAGGATGGTGCTGCTTCTTGGGCCCTGGCAGACGCAGGCGGCTTGCTCCCCTCTCCCAGTGAGGGAGGCAGGAGGTGTCTGTGCTTTGAGATCCTGGAGGGGAGGCCCCCCCGCCCTGGGAGACCTGACCGGGCACCACCTCTCCCAGGAGAGGGCTGGGAGAAGCAGCTTTTCTGGCTGCCGGGGTGCCCTGCTCCTTAGCACCCCAGAGGACACTGTCCACTCCACCGCACACCCCGGGACTCTCCATTGTACTCTCCCCAACAAGAATCCGGCCAGAGAGGCTGGTAGCAGGTTTTCTAGTTGCACACTCTGTTTTGTTTTCCGCACCGCCTGTAGGAGGAACAGGAGGGTCTGCAGGAAGTGGGGACAGGAAACCTGTCAGGCTACGCTGCTTTGCCCCTCACCAGCTCTCTTTCTTCCTGAAACTGGCATGTCTGACGCGCTCGTGGCATTACTGTTTCCTTACCGCGTGTCAGGTTTCTTTATGCTAACAGAAGTCCGGAGATGTGGAACCAGCCCCCAGTCCACCTCTGAACCCTGTGTGGGGGTCGGGACAAGGGCGCAGAGAAGTGGTAGGACGCCACGGCTCCAGAAGACCGCCTCCCTCATCTGGGAGTGGCGTGGCTCTGGTGCATCTGAGGGCTTGCCGTCCGGTGGGGGCTGTGGGGCATTGAGGAATATTTGCCCGGCACCTCGGAGCAAGGAGCTGCAGCTGAGAGGGTCCTCGGAGGCCCGAGGGGTCTGCTGCGGCGTGGCCAGCCTGCACAGAGACTGTGTGGAGCCCCAGCTGCCCCAGAACCAGCAGCTCCCCCTGCCCTGGAGCGTCTGGTTAGGTAATTATAGAGCGTTGGGTATAATCTGTTGTTAAATTAAGAACAGAGAACAGAACTGTTTAGTACGCATAACAAACAATAACACATTAGTCCCCCCACCCCCGTAGCAAGTTTCTGGGAGACAGAAAAACGTGGATCTCTGGGGGAGGGAGCGTGCCGAGCTGGGGGGCGTGGGAGACTGAGCCTGAGCCGGAGGGAGGCAGCAGGGGAGCCTGGCCCCTGCCTGCCCAGGCGTTCCTAAGCATCTCTGTTCTGCTGGGCCTGCCGCAGAGGAGACAACACTTACAGCTTCTGTTCTGCCATTCACGGCTGGCAGGTGTCCTGTTGGCTGGTGGCATTCAGACGTGCTGTCTGGGGTCCCCGGGGCCTAGCTGCCCCTGGGAACGGTGGGTGTGCAGTCATGAGCTGACGCGGCTGCCGGCTCTGGTGTGCTCGGCTGGGGGGGGGAAGCCCCAGGTGGGCTCCGTCTGTGCCCGCCTGCTGGCTGAGCAGTTTCGAATTTTCTTTTGCGTGAGCGAGGGTCAAAGGTGGTCTCCTTGTTTACCGAACAGGGTGGTTGAAGGTCAGGTTGAGAGGCACAAACATGGCAGAGTGTGGGAGGGGCATCTCACTTGCCGTGTCAAATGGTTCTCAGTAGAAATCCCTGGGGAACACATGAGCCCAGAAAGGGGCTGAGCCCAGGGAGGGCGGCGCAGTGACCCCGCGCGCCAGAGGTGACGGTGGGGAAGAGTGAGCACACCAGAGTGGACGGTAGTTACTGACCGTACCGGCCGCCTGGCTCTGGGAAGGAGTCTTCCAGTTCTGCTGGAGGCAGGGTCCAGCGTGTCTGTGGGCCCCCGACTCTGGAGAGGAGCTGTGCCCGCAGAAGCAATCTGGAAAGTGTGCGTCTGCTCCTGTTAGGTGCCGACGCTCGTGGCTGTCCCTGTGAGGTGCTGTCCCCACGCAGGACATGGGCACGGAGCCAGACCAGCCCGCAAAGGCCACAGCCCCTTTCAGCAGGCTCTTCTCCTGGCCGGCCGCACTGGGCGGTTATTTTAGTAGTTAGACTAGCAGGGGGAGAGGGAGGAGTCCCGATTCAGCTTAAAGCTGGACTGACACTCCAGGGACATGTCCGCACACCTGTGTCCCCACATGCCCTCCCTGTGGGGGTTGCGTGGAGCAGAAGTGAGCCACGTGTCTGGGTTTGGCCCGTGTATGGACAGAAAAGGGGTGCTGAGCTGTCCTTGGGGCTTTCCCCTCTTGGCTAGTCATTTTCCAGCTCAAAACCATTCTTCAGGGCGCCTGGCTGGCTCAGTGGGTTAAGCCTCTGCCTTCGGCTCAGGTCATGGTCTCAGGGTCCTGGGATCGAGCCCCACATCGGGCTCTCTGCTCAGCGGGGAGCCTGCTTCCCCCCCTCTCTCTGCCTCTGCCTACTTGTGATCTCTGTCTGTCAAATAAATAAAATCTTTAAAAGAAAATAAAAACCATTCTTCAGAATTTAAGGGCACTGAATTCGCCTTTCCTTGGTTTTACCGAGTTTCATTGTTTTAGCATCTTGACTACTTTTGAAGTCCATCCCTGAGAGGAGACAAGAGCTGGAATGTTGGGCAGTGAATGAACCCGGAAGCTGTCACACGGTGTGCCTCGCCTTCTGCTGGGGGAGGTTACCTCGGGAGTGCAGTGGGCACGCTCCGTCGGGTGGGCAGAGGTGAGAACAGACGGGTGACCATGCTTGCTGTTCCTCTCTTCCGGCCCCGCCCCAGGTCCATCAAGCTGGCGTGATGCTGCCCCATCCCGTGATGTCCTTCCCGCGCCTGCTCTGTGCTGTGGCCTCCCAGCGGCTGGCCCCCTGGAGAGGCAGTGGAAGCAGCCCCCTGCACACGACCCCAGCTGTCTGTGCTGACGGGAGCGCCCCGGTGTACACCCGCGCCCTGGCTTTTGCGGACAGGATTGCTCTGGTTGACCAGCATGGCCAGCACACGTACAGGGACCTTTACAACCACAGCCTGCGCCTGTCCCGGGAGCTGTGCCGTCTCCTCGAGCGTGCTGACGGGGACCTCCAGGAGGAGAGGGTCTCCTTCCTGTGCTCCAACGATGTCTCCTACGTGGTGGCACAGTGGGCCTCGTGGATGGGTGGAGGCATTGCTGTCCCCCTCTACCGGAAGCACCCCCAGGCTGAGCTGGAGTATTTCATCCAGGACTCCCGGAGCGCTGTGGTCCTCGCCAGCCAGGAGTACCTGGAACTCCTGCGCCCGGTGGTCAGGAAGCTGGGGGTCCCCCTGCTGCCCCTCCCACCCACGGTCTATGGTACGGCCCCTGAGGAGCCTGGGGCGTGGGGGGTGCCTGAGCGGAACTGGAGAGACCGAGGCGCCATGATCATCTACACCAGCGGGACTACGGGGAGGCCCAAGGGCGTGCTGAGCACTCACGGCAACATCAGGGCCATGGTGAGTGCTGGGGGCCGGGGGGGTGCTGCGATACCGGGGCCCCTGGGGGGGGGTCTGTCCTGCCTTTCCCAGGCCACCACCTGTGGCTGCCCCCATTCTAATGGCCCTCCCTAAAGCCTGTGGCCGGAAGTGGCCACCAGTCCTTCGGACCTGTGGGATGGGTGATGGGAAAGCGGGGGCCCCCTGCGGGCTCCTTAGGGCTCCGTAGCCAGCAAAGAACAGTGGGGCCCGCGTATGATGCTGAGGGTTTCAGAGGCAGCAGCTGGGGTGCAAACATTCAGACGCAGGTTCAGCACTGAAAACCAGCCTTCTCTCGAGATCTGAGTGCAGGACTCGGGTCCCGTGTTCGGGTGCTGTTCTCCTGTTCCAGGGCTCAGCATCTCAGCCGAGTTCCCCAGCTGCTTTACTTACCTGCGATTTCTGTCCTCCCTGCTTCCAAAATACATGATCCAGACTCTCGTTCTCTAGGAGCAGTAAAATAGGAGACGCTCAGAACCAGAGGTGGGGTGTGAGGTCAGTGCCGTTGAGTCTCAGCGGTGGGGTAAACTGAGTCCGGGCTGACTGCAGCCATGGCATCATTGGTAGGTTCTCTGTGTCTCCTGCAAGACGTACCTCTTGTCTGCAGAGACCGTCTGCTGCCCAGTGCCTGTGAGGGTGCGTCTGTCCCTGTGTTTGCCCGCAGTGGTCGTGGAGGCTTGCGGGCATCCTCACAGGTGACTTTCAGAAGATTCCAGTGGGCGTGTTTCACGGTGCATCTCACTCAAAGCTCAGGACGTGGTGGGAACCCACCTCCGAGTGCTGTGACCGTTCAGCTGGGGTGAGGGAGGCGCTGAGTCAGGAGGCAGAGTAGGGCGGGCGCTCGGATTCAGGCCTGGAACCCCAGGGCCCACTGGAGCCGGGATCATGCCTCTGCCTGCCTGGGAACGGGGCCACCGAGAGCACATGTGGAGGCCTTGGGGCCCCCACATCAAAGCTCTGACTGTGTCCAGTTCTGTTCTTGGACCTGGGGGTCTGCAGACGAGCCAGTAGACCCTTGGGCACATGGCCACCGTCCCCTCCAGATGCTGTGAAGGGCTGGCCAGCAGAGTGCGAGCCTCCCAGCTTGTCTCCCTGGCTGTGGAGGCCCTGGCTGGCCTGGTGGCTTCCATCCCGTCTGAGGCTGTGCTATCATCCCACAGGTGACAGGGCTGGTCCACAAGTGGGCGTGGAGTAAAGACGACGTGATTCTCCATGTCCTCCCACTGCACCACGTGCACGGCGTGGTCAACAAGCTGCTGTGTCCACTCTGGGTGGGGGCCACCTGTGTGATGCTCCCCGAGTTCAACGCACAGCTGGTAAGTTGGGGGTCAGGCTTGCGCCATGGCTGGATCCGGGTGCCTGTGGACCAGGCGCCTTCCTCAGTGGTGTCAACTTTGCCAGCTGTGTGAGTCCCTGTTGGTGCTCTAACAAATGATCCCAGACTGGGAGAGCCTAAAACAACACCCAGACTTCTGAGAGTCTTGGGGAGCAAATGTTGGGAGTGTGGGCGGGGCTGCCTGCATCTAGAAAGGCCGTTTCTTGCTGCTTCTGGCATCGCGCGGCCCCGTGCCCTTGCCTGTCAGCCGCCTCACCACAGCTCTGTCCGCCGCATCTGCACCCCGTGAGCATAGGGGTCTGTCTGCGCGGCCAGGGCACCCTGCTTTCTCACAAGCCTTAGCCGCGTCTGCAGAGTCCCTTTGCCCCACGAGGTGGCGTATCCACATGGATTAGAACAGGACGTTTTGGGCCCATTGCTCAGCCAAGAACACCAGCTTTCCTTTGTTCTAGAGCAGGAGGTGCAGCTGGGGGCCCTTGGTTGGTCCCCGATGTGTGCGTTTTTGTAGCGTCGTGTTCCGTCCCCTCCCAGTCAGCCCGGCCAGGCAGCCCCTGGGCCCCCCGGTGGAACAGAGCACAGCGATGACGAGGCCACTTTGCAGGGAAGACAGACCTGGCCAGGTGCGGACCTGCCACTGGACTCTGAGCCTCAGTTCCCCATCTGTGGTGGTTGAGGCCGGGCTCCACACAGACCGCCCCCGGGGAAAGCGGCTGGGCCTGTCCTGGGAGGGGCCGCCCAGCACGGCTGGCTGACTGCGTTTGCTCCGCAGAGATGCTGAAGCATGGCGCTTTGAAACGTGCGTTGACTTTTGCTACAATTTCTGTGATGAACAGAGGTTTTAATCACAAGGAAGATGTTGAAAAAGAACGGTTAGGTCATGTCGTGCTACTTTTCAAAACACCAAATAGCCAGATCGCCAAGGTGAAGAGCCCAGGGGACCCCCGAGGCCAGGCTCCTGGTGTGGATTGGTGGCTGTGTGGGGGCTGTCCCACAGGGGCGGACCGTCCCCAGCTGGAGGAGACCGAGCTCTCGCTCTGGTGGGCGCTCACCCAGCACTCCAGCTGCCTGAAGGCTCCTGGCCCACGGACGGTCTGTTAGGGAGAGCGCCCAGGTTCCCTGCCCGGCAGCCCTCCCGAAGGCGCCTCAGGGTCCCTGGTCGGCAGCATTCAGCAGCATCCACCTTCCTGTCTGCTGTAGACCCCATCCTCCCTTTGCAGCCCAGAGCCTTAATCCACACATGTGTCCGGAGTGAGGCTCTGGGGGCAGCTGGCCTAGACCCAGCTCAGCCGTGCGGAGCAGCACAGCCCAGGCAACCTTCTGCCTCTCTGACCCTCGGTCTCGGCCTCTGAGGAGGAGCATCAGCGTGAGCGCTGTCCCGGGGATGTGCAGGAGCGCCCAGCACGCAGCAGGGGCATCGCAGCCGACACGGACACCTCTCCCAGGAAGACAGAGCATGGAGAAGGGGACCCTTTCTTCTCTGGCGGCTGCTAGAGTTTCAGTCCAGGAAGAGCTTTGTCTCAGATGAGCCAGTGAGCCTGTCTGCTGACGGCCGGTGGTAGGAGTTAGAGAAGGAGCCACTGTGGACTGGGCAGAAGGGGCGGAGGCCCTCAGGCCCAGGCGGTTGCTTCGGACCCGTCCCGAGAGCCCAGGGCACGGCTCCAGGAGGGCTCGGGGCCTTCTGTCCGCCCCTTCAGCCGCCACAGCTTCGCCTCCAGCGCGCGTCTGTTTCTGAGCAGCAGAGTCCCGAGTGGTCTTATGTGGACAGAGGGTCTGCGGCTTGCAGATGCCCTTTGGGGCAGCAGGCTGGGGCGATGTCCGCGTTCTAGACATAAAAGCCTCCCAGCAGACGTGATGTGTGACCCCTCCCCCCATGCACGCGCCCCTTCTTGGCAGGGCTCTGACCCAGGGCCCTGCTCTCCCCAACCCTGACCGGATGGCTGGCTGCCCTGACCTGGACGAGTGGCCAGCCTTTCTCGGGACCCACTGCCGTGCTGCCCAAGGTCCCCCCCGTCCTCGGCTTGGTTTTAGAGGCAGGAAGAGGGAGGGGCAGAACCAGATCTCTGGAGACCTAAGCTTCCAGGTTCCCTTTAAACAGAGGGAGAGGCCGACCCACCCTGACTTGCAGCCCCAGTGGCTGACAGCCGACACTGCCGATGTCGTGAAAGTCCCCATGTCCTAGCTCCTGATTTGGGAGTGACGTGTGTGCACCTGGTGGGGGTGGCAGGGACACCCTTCGGGGCAGCAGTACGAGACCAAGCAGACCTTTTCTTCCCCAAACCACAGACCCAGGAACCACAGAGAAGGAACAGGAAGAAAGCGCTGCCCCCCCAACCCAAGCCTGGTCTCCCCCCAGGCAACTCACCCGGACCCCCACAGCCCGCTAGCCCGGGCCTCGTCTCCGAGGGCGCACCGTGTCCCCTTGCCTCCCTCCCCCTCCCTTCCGACACTCGAGCCTCTCTTGCAGTAAATGTGCCCACAGCCGTGATCCCCGAGGCCACTGCCCTCCTCACCGCGGTCCCGCTTCTGCCCCTGCCCCTACATTGGTCACCACCTCTGGCCAGGTGTCCTGCACATCTCCTCACTCCCCCTAGGATGTCGCCCCTTCTGTTCGTGGGGTGTCCCGAGGTCGTAAAGCAGTGCAGGGTCTGGGCGTTTGTGGGTGAGTGGATGACACGTGGACCCTTCTCGCTGTGTGAGCAACAACAAGGGCTCACTGGTGGGTAGCCGGCTCAAAACCTCGGTGCGCCGTCTCAGTACGTTGTGAGTGTGTGGATTTGTGGCACAGGCATTCAGCCGTGGAGGGGGTACAGTTGTTGGTTTAATAAGTTTTTTAGTATCAAGTAAAGAAGCAGTGTAAGTAGATACAGTGTAGCAGCTGTCCACTTAAAATCCATCCTCCTGGAAACAGTAACTTCCCTGCAAAGGTCTGGGCGTGCACACATTTGTGTCTGTGAACGTTTGTGCGTTTTCTCAGTTCATTCTGTGTGTCCGTCAGCAGCTGTCCGTGTAAATCAGCAGCGACAGCTTCTTCGCTTTGCACCGTGTGGGGTTAGGAGACGGTTCGTAGCTTCTGCTGAGGAGCTCCGCGTAAGGTGGGGGCCGGGTTTCTGCGGTGGCAGTAGACGGCGTGGGGTCCTGGGCTCTGGGGGTCTCCCCGCTGAGCCCGGCATGGGCCAGCTATGGGGTGACAGGCTCTCCGTGGCCCATGATCGGGCCTCGTGAGATGGCCTTGACGTGAGGGCAGGCGGGGGGGGTGGGGGCGGCCAGGAGCCGCTGTCACAGCCTGCGGAACATGCCAGCTGCCGATGAGGCCGTGTCCCTCCTGTGTCTCCGTGGATTCCCTCTGGTTGACGCCCCAGGATCTCCGCCTCTGGCCAAGGGGGCAATTTCTGCCAAAGGCACTAAATCAGGGTGGTGCCGTGGGACCTCCTGGGAACCTGCCTGGTGGGCAGAGGCTGTGCCGGCCGCCCCAGAACCCTGGTCACGTGAGGTTGGGGCTCTCAGGGGCTCAGCCATGTAGGCTGCTGGGGTCCCCACCCCTGCCCAGGACACTCTCCCTGGAATAACCATGCTGCCCCAGGAGACCTGTGACCCCAGACCAAGTTCATTCTGGGATCTGAGCAGTAGGCATCTTGGTGGGGGTGGGGGGTGTCTTCAGGCTGAATGTACATCAGGGTGTCTGCAGAGTTGGGGGGAGGGGGGCAGAGTGCACGACACTCCCATAGTCTCAGGTTGGAGCCGTAGCGTGGGGGCTTCTCGGGCAGGGTGTACCCACAGACCACAGGAGCTGGGGCCTCGTCACCCACTTTTGGCTGGAGCACCTCAGAACGCAAGAACAGCTTTCTGTGTTGTTTAGGATTGCCAAAAAACGAGTGATGGTTTGACCCTTGGGGTCACTGTGTTCAACTGGTTAAGCCTTCCCTTTGGTCCCCCACCTGCCTAGCAGTCCCACAGGGCTGAGACCTGAGCTCTCTTTCCCGTCCTGGTGACAGAGCAGAGCGGAGTGGGGAGAGGGTGAGTGAGAGAGGCGCCCGGGGCCCTCGCAAGGCTGCCTCCGTGGTGGGTGGCGTCCCGGCTCAGCAAGTTTGCAAGCTCACAGGGGTTCCTGTGGGCAGCCTGATTTGGGAACCACTGTCTGATCTGCTATGGCAGCTCACGGCACAGCAGGGCTTTGCGGTCCGGCTGCCTCAGAAGCGCTCTTGCCAGTGAGAGGCAGGCTCTAGGGGGACTCGCTCTCCGCACGGAATCCCGAGGTGGACGAGTGTTAGTTTCTGGGGGGTTGGGACAGCGGGGAGGAAATGTGGCATTTCAGGACAGCCGCTGCCCCCTTTGCTGACTTGGGTGAGTGCTAGGACAGGCGCCCTCAGGAGGTGGCATCTGGTTGTCACCTGTGTGCTGGGGGTCAGAGGCCAGGCTGGAGGACCACAGCACCAGTCAGCACGTGTTCCCTCCTTCCTGTAGCCTTGAGGGACCTTCCTGTAGCCTGGGGACCAGATGACGGCTCCCCAGAGTGGATGGACAGTTTAGGGGGCCTGTCCTCCCCCATCTTGTGCCAGGCAGCCTGTGAGGGAGGAGCCCCCCGCCATGGTACCTCCCCTGGGATGTGGGAGTCTGTCCCGTTGTGTGTCCTCTCGTCCACATGCTCCTGGCAACAGGTGAGACCTTGGTGGGCAGAACGAGGTCTGGCCAAGGGGAGGGTGTTGTCGGGGCTCACCAGACCAGGAGCTGGCAGGGTCTGCACACAGGTCAGCCACACACGTGAGTGCCACGTGGCATTGGGCAGTTCCACCTTAGCCGGATCAGGACGGCCACACTCTTTTCAGCTGCCCTTATCCCAAGGCCACATCTTCCCCAGTGACAGGCAGCACCAATTTGGCGGACCCATGTGTCTTTACAAGCCAGTGGGAAGTAAGAGGCTACCCAGAATTTCCAGCAAATCTGCATTCCAGAGCTTGGGGGGTGCCCACAGAGATCAGTGCC